ATGGATTTTGTTCTTCTTTTTTTTTTTTTCTGAATTTTTGGAAGCAAAGTAGTTTGGAAAAGCACAGTGGTGAAAAATGTATGCCAGGTATTTCCTGGATTCCAGCCATAATATGGGCTGTCACAATTGACCCTCTAAATGCAATGATATTGCCTGCCCCTTCAGCTAATCATTTGTTGTTTGCTGTTTTCAGAAAAATGCCTGGTACATTTTAATGACTTTGAGATCCAACTAATGTTCAGAAATGGGCACTAAGTCCTTGCATTCATTTAATAATACTGAGAAATTGTTTTGGGTAAAGTGGTAGTCAGAAGTATTTTCAAGGTGGAGAAATGGCTCAAGTACTTAGTGTAAAACATACCTAAATTCCTCACAAACCTCTATCATCATCTTCATTTTGGATGATCCATCTGTTTGAAAGGCTAAGTAAGAGGAAAACAAATAGTGAGTGGAAAATTGTGAGTGTGTGTGTGTGTGTGTGAGAGAGAGAGAGAGAGAGAGAGAGAAAGGAAGAGAAAGGGAGTTTGTGTGTATGGACAGGTCTTGTCGGGTAGGTATGTGAGCAGCAGGGCTAGAGTGAGTTAATGCATTTCTTCTCATGTGCTATATTTATCAGCAGCATGGATAAATCTATCATAGTAACCTCCCTGCTTGGTGGAGAGAGGTAAACATCTCCTCTATTGTATTCGTTTCCCTTTTTCTAAGGATATGCTTTTTCAGCAGTAAAGCAGTTAGAATTATCAGGTCCTAACCTGCATACATTATTTTCTTCCCCCTGCCTTCTTTCACTTGTAGGTCTTTTAAAGCTAATTAGTATCATCAATTGCCACCTTGGATTTCTTTTTTGGTGAAAGGAATTAGAAAAATGTTAAAATTTGAGTGACATCATTTATTTTGACATCAAAAATTTTTCTTCGATTTGTGAAAACATTTTTCTTATACTTTATGAAAGAAATTAACCATTTCTCTTCCACTTTCAGAGACACCATTTGAATTGTATGGAAATGTATTAAGGAAAAGATAGCATGAAAGGTTCATTCTAGCTTTTTAAAAATATCATAATCAGAAATATTCATTTTTCTTTTCCTGATTGTCTAATACTCCCAAATCTACTTTGAGTCATTAATATTTTCCAATAAATATGATTTTAGAGACTCATAAAACTACTTTTGGTGTGCATTTACTCATTTCTGTTTATAAATTTGTCCTTACGTTGTAATTTCCCTTCAGAGTCCTTTTTCAGTCTTCCATATTTTAACTTCTTATATGAGCTGACATTTTTATATTGTCTGTAAATGCCATTCAACAATACTCCACAGACAAACGTTAGGAAGTATTACTTTGATTAATGTTGTTGATATTTGTCATCTAGATTCCCAGTCATTATATTATGATAAACAGATTAATCATATGTGTTGATGTTCAGTGGATACCTGATCTCTTATGGGTACGTGCGTGCAATTACAGAGCAGAATAGTTAGCTTGGTGAAATTCATCTCTTCAAGTTGGAGCACGCCACTCCATTATTCTGCTACTAGTTTACTATTATCCACTACTGAAAAGTGTTTTCAAGTTATCGATCATTTAGGTAAATATCCTGAGGAACTGTTTTCTTACTTAATAAATCTAAAATCTTACTTAATATGTATCCTCCACAAAAGCAGCAAAGTCTGAGCTGGCAAAAGACTTTAATGCTATCTATTCCGAGACTATACGGGGAATTATGCAGCTGCTGTCCTTGGTGATGAAATTATTTCATGTGAATTCTTAAGGAAAACAATTAGTTTAAAAGGCCAAATAATCTTCTATGTACTGTTTGGTGGCTGTTGTTGGTATCTTCACAGATCTATTTGAACTTCTAGAAAAAATACTGACTCCAGTATCTTAATGTCTTGAGTTCCTGACTGCCAGGCAGAGGAAATGTTTAACTATTTTAATCATGTTTCTGTATCTCAGTAAGAAAGCCCTTATGAGAGGAAATGACAAGGTCCTACCACAAAGTTATCTCTTATCAGTTATAGTCTCAGTCGATAATGATTTGTCAAATTGGACATGTGTAAAATGCAAGGGCTGTGTTATTTACTTTGGAAAGGAAAAATTAGATGAAGCTGATAAAGAAGGAGTCATGGCTTTTGTTAGGAGACAGAAACCATTAGGGACAGTCATTGTTAGCTTAGGAAAGTGTCCTTGGACCCCTCCCTTTGCCCCAGCTGAAACCTAAACCTGTTTGAATCATTCTTTGCAACTTGAGGGGACGGAGGGGTAAAGGAGGGAAGAAGTATGAAGACAGATTTGACAGAGAGTAAGTATTTTAAATGGAGAGCAAAATGTGGACCTTAAACAAACCTATTTCTGTGAGTCGGGAAAAGCTGCCCTTTGTTCTGGGTCCCTTTCCCGCTCCCATTTATTTAGATTTTTTTGAAAGCTCATTTCTTGTCCTTCCCAACGTGTAGCATTCCTTCACGTACAGTGTATGTTGCTCTTCTGTTTTTTGCCTTTCCGCCAATGTGATTCTTTTTCATTAGTGCGGCAGAGAAAACACAGCCTGCTCAGAGCAGCATGAGTCAGTGCATACTTTACATACCTCTATCCTCACAGCACTCCTCTGGGCTTGTCTCAGTGTCCATTCCTAGTGTTCCTCACAGAGGGGAGCGTGGAGGAAAAATGACTGCTCAGTTTGTTGTGTTGGGGGTGAAGGTAAAGACCAGGAGCTGAAGGCCAGTCTTGCTCTTTAATCATTTGCCTAGATTTCAGTAGAGCAGGCAGTCAAGGGCTTAGGGAGACTTAACAGGATGATGTTTCCAGAGGCTAAGAAGCAGTCCAGCTTACAGGCCAGGACCCCGTAAACCTCTGGAAGCTGATAGAGGGATGCCACAGCAGCCTCACAGAGAATAGGTTGGGTCATAAATATTTGTTGAAGATGGCAGAAAAAAAGACCTTTGCCACCTCAGAAACTTTATCTGCTTTTTTAGTTTGCTCGGTCTTAAACTGATTAGTAACCACATATCTTTCTGTAAGTGCCCCTGTTAGCTTAGTCTCTAACGATTTCCAGGAAAATTAACATTTTATAAGGAAGGACTTGACATGTGAAAGGGCCATGGCTCTGTCTGACCATGGCTACAGTTTTTCTTTGAGTGAAATTATAGCTCTGAGGAAAAACAAAGCCAATCATCTGGTGAAGAACAGTATAAATACTTATGATTTAATATTGTATTCCAAATTGAGTAAGAAAATTTTTGGATATTTTTATAATTATAGATTTGTAAGAATGAATTTACAATATAAATTCTGAATTAAAAATTTCATTTCCTATACAGATCAAACTTAAAATTGTTTTAAATTCAGGGCAGTTTTGTTTGTTGGTTAATATTTTCATAAATACAATTTTTTAAACATTTTTTTGTTCTGCTTTTGGAATTGTGTTCTGCTTAGTAGTATAGTCTGGTTTTGTGGCAAGATGAAAGAAATTTCTGTTTTTTTGGCAAGACAAAATAGGTTCTGGTTTTCTGGCAAGATAAATTTTCTGCATATCGTCGCTTTTGCAATCACAGAGGGAGGCTGCAAAGATGCTTTAATGATGTGGTCATTTCAGACAAGAAAGCTTAGTGATCACTTTTTTATTAAAATGAAGATGAGTGTCTAAAGTTACAGTTTTTATGATTTTTAAACTTACTCCTTCTTTTCACCTCATGGTGCCCATCTGTCTGTAAAATATTTTCATCAGTAATTTGCAATGCTTGTGCTTGTCGACTTTTTTATTTTTGGAAGTAAAATTATTCTTGGGTCATGGTGTAGGATCTTGAGTGCTTTATCACCAATCATGAGATTAACATAAAGGTTTGTTTTGTATGCTTACAGAGTGTACTGCACAGCGATGTACTTAGGTATATAGAGACTTATTAATCTTTGCCCTTTTGAGTGTGAAGCATATGAACAGAAGAGTCAAACATGTGAACCAACACTTTTTGTCTTTATACAAATTTAAAATACTAGAAATCTATTTGAGAGTCAGAGATAGATAGCATTTTCATTTTTGAGATTCACTCTTCCCAAGCCATTCAAGGCTGGGTTTGTGCTGGATCCAGAGCTGGGTGTTGGGAATACAAACTAGATCTCCCTCCAGGAGAATTTTAACCTAATTATTTGAGGGTCTGCATTATCCAAAAGGTAGAGTCCAGAGCTGGTGCAGGAAGAAATTCTGTCTTACCTGGGAACCAGGTGTTAGCCTCTAGGCTAACCATATGCTCTAGCTGTCTCCTTTTTTCCTTGTCTATGTCAACTGATATCCTTCTGTTTTTAAGTCGAGAAAATCTAGACCATAGTGAATTGTGGCTTACTCATTATCAAATCAGATGGCAAATCAGTTGAAACACTAGTCTAGACTCCAATCCTTACTTTAGGGATTTTTTCTTTTACTTTCTCCTTTGACATCTAGATTTCATTAACTATATTATCCACTTTATAATCTGCTGATTACTTCTAGGTTTGGCTTTTCCTTTTGTGATCTTTTTTTTTTTTAATAGTCTTTCTTTCCTTCCTTCTTTTCCTTCAGTTTGTTGATTGCATGCTGTCTTATTCCCTAATTCTTTAACCTTTCAGATGTTGGTTGGCAAAATGTTTCATTCCTTGAATGACAAGTTTTGGTATTGAAATTTTTTTTTATGTATGAGACTTAAATTTCAATGTAAGTTACCAAGTATTTTAGAAGAAAAGCTTCAAAGTCACATTCCCACACATTGTTTTCCCTTTAGAGGTATAAGAAGCAAGGTATTTCTCTGAAGGCGAATGCAAGGGCATATCACCTGCTTCCACTCTTGTGGCGTTTGTCCCAGCCTTGGTGTGTATGCTCACAATGTATTACTTCTAGAGTAAAACAATAAAGTATTTACTATTTAGAAGCTATAGCTTTTTTTTTTTTAATATTTGAGTAGTATTGAATGAATTTAGTTGCTCTGAAATGTCTTTTTCTGAAGTCTGTTCTGTTGATTTTACATTTGCAGGTACCTGGGGCCCAAGATTTGGTGGATTTCTCTCCTGTTTATCGATGTCTACATATATATACTGTCCTGGTGAGTCTTCCTGTTTCCAGTAAACATGGATATTGAATTCAAAATTCCACTTTCTCATTTTAATAGCTTTTAAAATTTATTATTAAGAAAGATGAGAGGCAATTATAAAAGATAATTAGTTCTTGTGATTTTTTTTTGTCTTTTGTTTGCTGTATAACATGGTTATGTATCTGTCAGTCATCAGCGAATTATAAATATTCACAATTATTCAGATTTCTCTTTTAAATTCAAAAAAGTATTGTTTAAATAAAAAATCTTAGCTTTACATATTAAAATAATATTTGTGGAAGCTATTTACTGTATTATTCCTGATAATGATTCCTTTTGTCATAGAACACACATGGAAAAAGGAAGTATCTATGAGTGTTAACCTATGTCTGCACATCTTTGCTCATTTTATTTCTTTACATATTTAACATAGTTGTACTTTGTTGTTCCTCTAGACACTTTAGAACATGGTCTGTGGATGTTACGATCAGGAAAATTTTGTGGTAATCTCCATTAGTTTTAGAAAAAAAATTCCTTTTTTCTCTTTCATCCTCCTACTTTGTATTCAGATTCTCTTCCTCCTTTTCTCTTTTTCCTTTCTTCTCTCCTCTCTCTCCAATAGATGTGCCTTTTTATACAAAGGTGAGTGCAAATGTCAATTGATGCATAAAATAGGTAGACAATTCTATTCCAATCTCAAATATTGGAAATGTAATAAATCATTTACACCTCAGGTTATGACATTCTGTTATCATTTCACCAAGGCTCTAGTCCATTTTACTTCAGTATCTTTTTTCCATTTATTGCTACGCATGAACTCACTTTTCCCACAGCTCCATGGATGCTAGTTTTAATATGTTTAATATGTGGTTCTGGATATGTCTGCCTGTGGAAGGAATGTGGTGACTTGGTATTCTGTGGTGTCTCTGGCTATACTTCTTAGACTTTTATTTAGCCTTGTCCTGTTAGTGTCTGTATTTTGGTATCATTTTTCTTCCCCCACTACTGCATCATAATTGGTGGTTTTTATTTGCTCGTTTTAATAATCATTTTAGTCATCAACACTTAAATATCTCTAGCATTCCCCTGTAACAGGTGGTATTCACTAATGGCTGTATGTATAATTTTTGATAACCAGGAGTAGAATTATTGGATCATAAGATATAGTTCTGAAGCACAGAATTCTTGGGTAGATTAATTTATAATTCTAGCTAGTGATTTTGAATGGCATTTCTTTATTTTAGTTTGTGTTGCTTTACTGGTTACAATTCTGTCTCTCTTCATAGACTTACTAATCATTCAGAGTTTACTTACATAAAATGCCTGTTTTTAATCTTTGCCAAATATTTGTATTAGGTTTCTTTTGTTTTCTTTATCTTCTAAACTGGAAATAGATGTTTTAGAATTTGCATAAATTATATATATTGACAGTGTATGATCCCACTATCTTTTTCCCCTCAAAATTTCACCAGATTTTAAATTGTATGATTTTTTTCATGAAATAAAAATCCTTGTTATATAATCAAGTCTACCACTTTTAGCATTTTTAGAGCCATGTTTTAAAAATATTGCTCTCAATCTCAAGGCCATTATGATGTGCATTTTTCTCTTCATTTGTTTGAGACACACTGTTGTATGTTGTATGAGGCACAGATATAGCTGTAGTTTTTCCTTGTGATGTGTTCAACTTTACCAATTTTTTTTCTTAAAATTTATTTATTTTGATTGCAAGGTCAGAAATAGGAGGAGAGACAGAGAGGAAGATCTTCCATCAAATGATTCACTCCCCAAGTGAGCGCAGTTGCTGGAGCTGATCCACAGCCAGGAGCCAGGAGCTTCTTTCTAGGTCTCCCACATGGGTGCAGGGTCCTAAGGCTTTGGGCTGTCTTCAGCTGCCCTCTCAGGCCACAAGCAAAGACCTGGCTGGGAAGTGGGGCTGCTGGGATTAGAACCGGCACCCATTTCGGATCCTGATGCATTTAAGGTGAGGGCTTTCCCTGCTAGGCCACTGTGCCAGGCCCCAGCTTTACCAATTTCATCAGCTATGTCATAATCTTATATCAGCCATTAATTCTATTATTACCTTTGTCATTGACTGCATTTTAGTTTGTATGATGACTTTTTCATAGCTCTGTTTTATTTTATATTTGCTTTTTAAATGTTTCTAAATATATATGATAAAAGTAGTTTCTTTTTATTTCTCTTCTCTTAAATTGCCTTAATTGTTCATAGACCATTTCCATACCATAAACTTTTGAATCAGCTTAAGTTTAGAAATAAAAAATTTTATTGAATTACAGACAAGTTTTGGGAACAATAGCTCCTTAATAAAGTTGAGTCATCCTAGTCATGAAAAAATAATATCATTTTTCCCTTGAAAAGTTTATTTTTTTGGTTTTATTTTTTGTTTATTTGTTTTTAGGTATATTTGTTTATTTTCATTTTGTTTGAAAGGCAGAGATACTGAGACTGTAAGAATTTTTCTTCAAATGCCTTCAACAGTTGGTCAAGTTGAAGCCAGAAGCTCAGAATTTAATGGAAGTTTCACATGTTGGTGCTAGGGGCACAACTAGTTGAGCTGTCACCTGCTGTCTCCAGAGGTGCGGTTCCAGAACTCAGATCCGTGCACTCTGGTGGTGATGCTGTGTCCTAAGCAACATCTTAGCCATTGTGCCAAATGCTTGCCCTGGATAAGGTCTTTGAAATGATCTAGTGGAACCAGTTAAGACCCAATGTTAGCGATCTTAAGCATTCTTTGTTACCATCATAGTGACAGTTTTTGTGACAATTTCTATTTTCAAGTTAGTTATTGCTGATATTAAGAGAAATTGTTGTACGTGTAAGTTGGTTTTAAATCCTCTTAGTTATAGCAGTGTTTTTTGATTTAGGATAGGCTATATAGTCAGCCATATTGTATGCTACGTTGTCTTTTTTCTTTTTATCCATATATCACAGTGTTCTTTTACTATCTTACTGTATCAACCACGCTCAGTTTTATTTTGTAGTAGTAGATTTTCAAGTCTAATTTTGAAAAGGATTTATAGGAAGTGTTTTAGTTGCCTGATGTTTATGTTTATAGTAGGTTTTGCCAAGTTTTAAATCTGACTGTTGCTAGATTTTTGATACTTAAAACGTGAAAATGATTGTTGAGTTTTATTGGTTGTACACATATATTAATATAATCCTGTGAATTTATCCTTTAATTAAAACATGGCAAATTTAATTGCTATATTTTCTGACATTAAATCATTCTTCAGATTCATTTAATGAATATGTATTACTACAATTGTAGCATTCTGTGAAATTTAAGACCTTTTAATTGTTGCTTTATATATTTTTTGATACTTCCTTATGTGGTCAGAATTAACACAAGCCTGTGTCTTTTTGTGTGTTGCTCTTATAAGACTTTAAAGTTAAATGTTGCTTTAGCCTCATTCTAAAGAATTGAGCATCTATCCCTTTTTTCTCTTTTATGAAGTGACTTATGTAAGATAGAACTTATATGTCCCTTTGAAAATTGAGTGTTTATGAAAATTTTTCTGTCTTCTTTCTTTACTCCTTATCCTTCTGTGCTTTATAATTTTGTTTAGTCTCTTCAGTAGTAAGTATGGATGTAGAATCTCACAATTATTTATCAGTTCGACGCTTAGAGAAAAACTCATATTTATTCACATTGCCTCAAGGTAAACTTTATAATCAAAATAGAAAAATCAAATAAAAATCTATGGAAGTAAAGAATTTTTTGTTTGTTTCAAGTTATATTGTCTACGCCAGCAATACTTTGTGTATTGTGGCTACTCAGCAAATAAATAAATGAATAACTAGAGAAATAAATAAAAGCTAAGAAAGTCGTATTTCTGCTTGAACATATGTTGATTCAATTCTTATTTTTCAGTTACTTTATCAATGAACAGTTCTTTGATTTCACTTCTCTTTGAATTACTTTTGAAGAAGAAAGGATACGTACATAAGTCAAAAACCTATGCTTTAAGATGATAACACTGTGCCACAAGGGGATTTATATTCTTTAAATGATTATGATGGTGATATATTATATCACTGTATTTATTTTAGTTTTTATAAGCTGTATTTAGATTTTATTATGTGAAAATATCACAAATTAACTTGACATGGGAACTCTAGTAAGCCAGCCATAAGTGTGTTGAAGTAATTTAATTGCATATTTACAAACTGTAAGCCAGCCATAGATAAAATGGTACAATAATTACCTGCTGAGAGTAGTTACACTTATTGAATAAAGAATGCCTGAGTGTCTGACACATCATTGCCATTTAATAAATGACCATTGTCCAACATATATCTAATGTTGATGGACAGACACAGTATTGATGTTTTAAAAAGTGTATGGAGTAAAGTATAAATGTATGTAGGGATTCTCTTCTGTCATCGACATGCTAATTTTACATTTGAAAATCATACATTCTGAAGGTAGAAAGACTTCATGGTCCTGGCAAATTGTGTGGAATATAGAATACATTGGTAATTAGAGATCATAAGGCTCTAGAAAAACAAGAGGACCTTACATTTCTCATTTAAAAATAAATTCTACATAGTGTTGTTCCATGATGATGAAATAGTTGATCTTCATAAATCTTCATAAACAGTTGTTTGTTGAGCATGGTTTATATGGAAGAAACAGGTTTCTTTTTCATTCACAGTGTTTCCTACTTTTGAAATGGTACAGCTCATTCTGTTCTATGAAATATATGCTTATGTTTAAGAATTTTGAATAATTGCTCACATATCTACTTTGCTACTGTAAGTGTCAGAGCATGTATATCTTATAGTGGTGACTCTTCAGAGTTTTTGAGGGCTGGAAGAATTATAATTTGTCACTTTTGTGTTTCCTTATTTTCAGGACACTAATTTGAAACAGATGACTTCATGCATATATTTATAATTAAAGTTTTATTTTTAATATCAAAATGATGTAGTTATTTAATATACTTAATAATAATGTTAGGACTTAAGGGCAGAGGTTTGGGGAAAGG